ACATGCCTTTAATCCCAGCACTTGGGAGGCAGAAGCAGGCAGATCTCTGTGATTTCAAGGACTGCCTGGTCTACAGAATGAGATCAAGGACAGTCAATGTTGCTCAGAGAAATCCTGTCTCAAAAAAATAAAAGAAATAAAGTAATAATTAAAAAAAGCTAGGTAAAGCCGGGCTTTGTTGGTGCACGCCTTTAATCCCAGCACTCGGGAGGTAGAGGCAGACAGATCTCTGTGAGTTCGAGGCCAGCCTGGTCTCCAGAGTGACTGCCAGGATAGGCTCCAAAGCTACAATAAGAGTCTGGGTCCTGTATGTCATTTTGTTGTCTTTGAATTGTTTGACTTCGGATGAAGGAGCAACAGCTGCTAAAAGGCATTTGATTATAAATGCTGCTGGATTAATCTGACCTATACATTTTAAAAATGCCTTGACTTCAAAATTTAAATCTAAGAACATGTTACTTTGTAAAAGAAGTTCATCTTTTTTTCCCACATTCTGTTACTTTCCAAATGCCTCTGGATTCTATTGTAAATAATCTCAAGATTATCCTACTCTAAACATTACTGACTTTTTATTTAAGAATTAATACTAGGGGAAATATAATTTATTTGACAGTGCATGGGAATGATAATGTTCCCATTACCTTTGGATGCTGATTGGGCAGTTCCTGGGTGATGTCTGCTTGTGGATTTTCCTGTAACTGTGTGTTGCCTTACAGTAAATTGAGACTTAGGCCTATTCTCTGGTTCCTATTGAGCCTGTCATGACCGCACTGTAGCCAAGCTGCCCTGGGTCCTACATTCTCCATTTTACCTTACACAGGTAAGCAGGTATGGTTTATCAGTGAGCAAAGATTATTACAAAAAAAAAAAAAGATTATTCTGAGGCAGTTGGGTTTCTAGCAGAGTACAATGCTGTGTAAATAAAGAGGGAACTGAATAGAGATTCTATGACAGATTCTTCAACTGTCATGTCATGTCACAATATTAAAATTCATTAGGGAGCTGGGTCGTGGTGGTGTACAACTCTTAATCCCAGCACTTGGGAGACAGAGGCAGGTGGAACTCTGTGAGTTTGAGACCAGTCAGGCAAGGGGTAATTCGAGGACAGGCTCCAAAGCTACAAAGAGAAACCCTGTCTCAAAAAAAGAAAGCAAATAACAGCAACAAAATGTTAGGGAATAATTTCACTTAGGATAAATTGCATACCTCCAATCCTAACCAGAGCTCAATTGAAACTAAAGGAGTGGCATGGAATTGCATGATTGGTATGGGTGGCAACGTTTCACACTACCGGGTTTCTTAATTTATCATGTAACACAAGTAAAAGAAGCCATTCACCTTTCAAAAGGACCAGCCGAAAAAATAGACAACGTACCATGCAACGTTCTTTTCTCCTTCAAAGTTCTACCTTTACTCTGTGAGATTTGAGATTGAATCACACAGAGCTCACGGATTGCAGAATAGTTTTCATTGTAAACCAGAGGAAAACAATAGAGACTGTTGCGAAAGAAAGCTATGTCCCCTCCCAGAAATCACACTGATGCAATTCTTCATTATCGACTCTCTGTACAAAGCATAGTGAGCAGGGTCTAGGCAATGCCATTACTCCTGAAAGAAGCACAAAACCCTAAAACAGAGTATTTATAAATCCCATGATGAAAACAGTGTTTGAGCTAAATGTGTTAGTCCAATATTTAAACCTAGCATTAAGGATGCAGAGGCATGTAATTCCCATGTAAGGCTAGTCTGTCATCTACATTGTGATTCCTGAGACAGTCAGGACAATAGACTGATCATTTACTCAACAACACAATGCTTAAACCAAACAACACCAAGACAATTTAGCCATTCATCCACGGGAAGAGTACTTTTGTTGAACAAAATAGAGAACAGAAAATTAGAGCCAAAATTCTTAATATATTTTGATCAGAAATACTTAAAAGACGGTTTCCAATTTTGTCCGAATCTATATATAGTACATGTTTCAACTGTAAATATTGTGCATTGATATTCTCATATTCATACTTTGCTTTTCCATTTTCAAGGTGTCATATTGAGAATGTATTAAATGAAAACATGTATCAGAATGCAATATTTATATCACAAGTCACATACATTCCAGGTGCAAAATTATTGGAAAATAAAAAAAACCTGATTACTACTGCCAGGTCTACAAGAGCTAGTTCCAGGACAGCCACCAAAGCCACAGAGAAACCCTGTCTTGAAAAGCACTTCCCCCCCAAAAATTGATTACTAAATAGTAATACTTTTAAACATTATTATTGCACTTGGCAAATAATACTTTCGGATTCAATCAAATCTGTACTGATCCCTCATGGTACTAATCTCTAATCAGCGCTCAGCAGACGCCTAATTTCCAGAGACGAAATTTGAGCCACTTGCTCAAATAGGCAAGTGATACAACAGCAGAGGTAGGAAAGCATTGATGACTTTAAATTCCAGAGTTTGGGCATTGTCACAAGAGCATGAAAACCATGTTTGCAAACAAGGCATAATGGAAATGCTCTTCCAGATTATTCTGGAAATATCCTGACAAATCTGGTCTCAGCATGTCCAGTTCATATGATCTATACTTTACTGACACAGTTGGGTACCCACAACAGAATAGTGGGAAAGTCCTCCTACTCAGTACTACACTCTCACTGAGCGTCTTTTCCTCCCATGACATAGCTGACTCATGACCGTAAGATCCTGTCTGCATCCTGTTTGGTTCCTACAAATTTAGCCCCCAAGAATTCCTCTGAAATAACAATCAGGCTCCTGTAATATGTTTACCAGAAACTTCCACAATGCTGTTGAATTCTCCAATCCAACAGAGCCCTTGTTTCATTTGCCATGTCTCCTCTGGTGAGGTGATTTTTCCTGCCCCACTGATACTTACCTTTGCCATCCTGTCCGTCCTGGTTTCCACACAGTTCCAGGTCTCAGTCTCCTTTGGACCTAATATATATATATATATATATATATATATAGAAAATATTGTGATGGGTAAAAGGTGAGATGTCAGGGCCTGGAGAGATGGCTCAGAGGTTAAGAGCACTGGCTGCTCTTCCCAAGGTCCTGAGTTCAATTCCCAGCAACCACATGGTGGCTCACAACCATCCATTATGAGATCTGGTGCCCTCTTCTGGTGTACAGATATACATGGAAGCAGAATGTTGTATACATAATAAATAAATTCTTTTTAAAAAAGGTGAGACGTCTTTTAATTGCACACAATTTTACAGACTTGGCACAACCCTGAAAATCTGGGCATTAGAATAACCTCAAAGTCTTCAATCGGAGGGGCTTCATCATTGAACATCTGAATTGGAATCCCCGAAGTCCATACATCTGATTGCAATCTCTTATGTTCTTAGGGGACAGTCCTGAACTCTAACTTTCCACTGTTTCCAGTCTCAGGTTCAATGCACCAGACACAGCAGCAACTGATACAATTTATGACCATTTGAAGCCAACAGCCAGAATTTACCCAAGATTGTACTATCCATGCACTCATGTGTCAACAAACTCCAATACTGAGAACACCAAAATGTTCCCAAACCATACTTTCTCTTGAGTTGTATATAACTTCCTTCTTGTATTAGAATGCTTGAAAAATCATGTATTGGTATGGTTTGTTAGTAGTATCAATATAATGTTTTGGAATTGCACTAAATATTTTTTTAGCATTACTCAGTACTTCAAAATAATATTTCAGCATATTTTAGGGGATTTCTAAACATGAGCATGGTCATTTTGCTAGTTCAGATTTTTTCTTTAACACTTCATTGTTTCATGATTTGTACAAAGGCACTGACCCATGCTGTTAAGCTGAAAATGAGTCCCTTGTAATGCCTTACTATGTTTCATGGTGAATTTTCATGGAAGTCTGCAATGTTATGATTACTTAAAGGATTTAACAAAAAGAACTCAAAATCAGTGTGTTCCTTGGATCGTATAGAATGGAATTTTAAGGTATAGCAGGACAGAAGATCACCACAGTGGAATTATTAGGTCATGGGTAGCCTTGTTCTGAGGGTCACTGGAGCTTGGTTGAATTATGTGGAATTCAGAGCCATGCAGAGACACAGCCCAGTTTGGATGAAGTCTCTCACTGATCCGGGATTACCTACTCTAGTGACTGAAATATTTTCTCTCTGATACCTATTTTCTATTAGACAGCAAGTTTTGAGAACAATCACTTTAGTATATACTTAATGAGACATTTTTCCTGGGAAGATGCAACATACATGTGCATCGACTCACCCCAACAAGGAACTGGAAAGACAGCCAAGCCCAACCTGTGGAACCATCGGTCTTTATTTTGGGGTTACACAGAGGAATATGGTGCAGTACTTGCACAGGAGACTCAAGGACAGCTGGAATCATGGAGCTCCAAATCAGCACGTGGGATACGGTACACGAATACAGGACACCTGGAACACACTGCACACCTGTAGGCCTATCTACAAGATAAAGAGCATCCTATTTTGGTGGATCATTTGGTCAAATCCTCTTCAATCCATATCATCTGTCTGAGTGTCTTCATTTGACTTAAGCATACTGAATCCTGTTAGTTTCAGGGATTTCTTGACGTTACTTTGAGGTGCATATTTCCAGACTTAGTCAGCTCTCATCCGAGACAGATCAATTCAGTCTCCAGGAAACTACTACATAACAGTGCATCCTTTTCAGGTTTCTGCATTTTTGTCTTCATTGTGAAGTATTTAAGGTTGCACAAATATAAAGTTTTAATGAAGAATTTCCTATATTGTCACAGTTTCAGAATTTCCTTCAGTATAAACTCTTGATGTATTCTAAGATTTGACCATCACTTTAAAACTTTCACAACTTTCTAATGTTCACAATTTTTCTATAGATGAATTCTAAAGTATTGCTAAGGCAAAGTATGAATGAAGCATATGCCACAATATTTGCTATGGAAGCTTTTTGTCCTGTATGAATTTTCAGAGGTTTTTGTAGACCTGGGAACAGAAAAGGCTTTTCCTCACACATTACATTGTAAAGTTTCTCTCCTGCATGAATTCTTTGATGTGTTTTCAGGGTGACTTTGTGGGCAAAGATTTCTTGCACTTACTATTTTTGTGAGGTTTCTCTTCTGTATGAATACTCTAATGTCTTCTAAGAGATGAGGAGCTGGTAAAGGATTTTTCAGTTTCAGTACATTTGTAGGGTTCCTGTCCTTATGAATTTTCTGATGCTTGCGAAGATTTGAGCAACTGATAAAGGATTTGAAACATTCACTACATTTATAAGGTTTTTCTCCTGTATGAAGTCTCTGATGCGTTCTAAGATGGTCCTTTGTGGTAAAGGATCTGTCACAATCACTACATTTGTAAGGCTTCACTCCAGTATGAATTCTCTGATGAATTTTAAGATGGCCTGTCTGGGTAAAGCACGTGTCACATTCACTACACCTGTAAGGTTTCTCTCCCATATGAAGTCTCTGATGAGTTATGAGACTGCTTTTCTGAGTAAACGATTTGTCACAGTCAGTACATTTATATGGTTTTTCTCCTGTATGGATTCTGTAGTGAATTCTCAGATGATCTTTCTTGGTGAAGGACTTGTCACACTCACTACATTTGTAAGGTTTCTCTCCTGTGTGAACTCTCTGGTGATTTGTAAGATGGCCTCTCTGGGTAAAGCATTTCTCACATTCACTACATTTGTAAGGTTTCTCTCCCATATGAATTCTCAAATGAGTTCTAAGACTGCTTCTCTGGGTAAAGGATCTGTCACATTCATTACATTTATAAGGTTTCTCTCCTGTGTGAAGTCTCGGGTGAGGTCCAAGATGGTCCTTTGTGATAAGAGATTTGTCATCTTCACTATATTTGTAAATATTCTCTCCAGAATGCAGTCTGAATTGTCTTTTAAATTCCGATGTATGATAAAGCCACTTAGGACACTCCATACATTTGTACGGTTTTTCTCCACAATGGAACTTGCAATGTACTTTGACTTGTGACAAACGTAGAAAAGATTTACTACATTTTGTACATTTATAGTGTTTCTGTCTGGTATGAGCTCTCTGATGTCTACTAAGGCTTGAGTCTGTCTTGAAGCTTTTCCCACATTTCCAGCTTTGGTTAGGTTTCTTCCCACTATTGGTTCTTTTCAGCGTGAGATCATGTTTAGAGTCAAAAAATTTATCATGCTTTGTATTTTCTGTTTTTTTCCTTACTGCATAGACTCTTTGATTCCGACTAATGATGGAACACAAACTTAAACAGTTTATACAGCCCTTACCTTCGCAAGGTTCTTCTCCAGGGTTTCCACTTTTATGTCTGTTTAATGATTCAACAGAAGCATCTCTGTGGTTACCACATACATAGTTGTTGCAGATTTCTACACTATCCCTAGTATTATCTGTATATTGGGAGGATTTGTGAATTATGTTGCAAGGCTGGTTACATTTATAAGGCTTCACTTGAGTATTTGCATGCTGATGGACAATGGGCATTGAGCTTTGATCCAAGACATTCTCATAATTATGACATATGCATCGGTTCCCTGGAAAATTAGCACAATTAGGGAAAACAGCAATTAATGCATGAGTACAGGATTTAATAACTGATTTGCCTAAGTTTTCTAAGAAATATAAACTAGCAATTCTCACCCCAGGGTTAGAGCTCTCACCCCAGGCCTTTTCTGGCTCACATTACTAAAGGATGCTTAGAAGAACCTATGAATACCAACTCTATGAATACCAAACTACAAGGACCGACAGTAGCCTTATCATTTTTATCTATACTGTGTACCTTGTAGAAGATAGGGCAAATAGGTGATCAAGCAATAATTAGAGGAGCTACCTGGAGGATCATCTGAGCAAGGTTCATCTATTTTCTTGAAATGTTTTTCAAACACAGGCACACTGGGTAGGTTTGGTCAGCTAAGAACTCATTACGTGTAATCCAAGTTGTAATGGAACTTTACTTATCCTCTGGCTTCAGCATCGTTACTGCTAGGATTAAACTAATGCATTCTCAGGTTTAAATTTAGGGAATAACCTCAAAAGCTAAATAAATAAACCAACCCAACAAAAACCCACGCTCTTTACCAACAGCTCTTTTTTATATAAAACCTACTGAACTTGAAAAATTAGAAACAGTTGAATAGTTTAATCCAGTAGTAAAATCAAAATATTCCAATTATGTGTAATAGAATACATTTCCACTCTGAATATTTAGTTTCCTTTGAACTTTGAAGTTTTTTTTAAAAACTAGGGAGATCACACAGAACATAGTATTGTTCATTCTTCTAGGGAACACAGAATAATAAAAGTGGACACTGTGAAAGAGTTATGTTGCTAACCAGAATTTCTGAGTGTCTAGACAGTTCAGATAGACTACATATAAACAAAAGAGGTAAATAAAAAGGATGAATCAAGAATTCTAGACAAGGGCATTCTTACCTACAAAGACTAGATTGCGGTAATTCTCTAACATCACATCCACGTACAAAGCCCTCTGAGCACAGTCTAGACATTCCCATTCCTCCTGGGAGAGGTCCACAGACACATCCCTGAATGTTACCAGATGCTGCAATGGAAAATTATATGTCACGCGCTGCTGGAGAAAATGCATTTCTAGGTAAGAGACGTTAAGGAACTAGAGACACTTCTGTGACAGAGATGAGGCATGGCATTTGTTCAAAGACAAAGTTTTCTAGAAGGGCTACAGAACTGTGCTAGATGTTATTTAATGCTGTTCTTTCATAGACAATGTTTGTTTTTGTTTTGGGGGGGTTTGTTTGTTTTTGAGACAAGGGTTTTCTGTTTTGTTTTCGAGGCTGTCTTGGCATTCGCTCCGTAGACCAGCCTGGCCTTGAACTCACAGTGTTTTTGTTTTTTGAGACAGGGTTTCCATGTGTAGTTTTGGCTGTCCTGGATCTCACTCTGTAGACCAGGCTGGGCTTGAACTCACAGAGATCCACTTGCATCTGCCTCCCCAGTGTTTGTATTAAAGGCATTGGCCACCACTGCCCGGCTTCCATGCTTACAATATTAAGGTTTCTTGCCTTCATGAGTTTTCTGACTTTTCTAAGACCTGAGCAGCAGATAAAGGATTTGCCACAATTACTACATTTGAAAATGGTCTCTGCTATTTGGATTCTGTAATGACTCTTACACAGTCTTTTAAAATAGTTTGGTTCCCAGGACACTTGTGGCACTACACAACAGAATTTAACCCCAATTCCATGGGATCCCATGTTTGCTTCTGAACTCTACAGATAGGAGGCATACACTGCACACATTCACATGTTCAGGCAAAAAATACTGGCACACATAAAATAAAGCTGACATTTAATTATAGTAATAAATGGTTCTCAAAATAGTCATTGTCTGTATAGTATTTTCTACCTCTATGAAAAAAAGATGACAACAGTCTTACAATCAGCAAACGTTTATGGAATATAACACAACTGTGAGGTCTACATGCAGGAACTTATCTTTATGAAGTATGTGTTAATATGGAATAGGATCCCTGGGTCAATATAAGATGTTCAAGTTATGATGAGCAAAACTGAACTGTACTTCCAAATTCTACAACGTTCGCCCTTGCTCAACTACGGACACTGCACTGATCCTGTCTGCACCCGGTCCACACCATACTGTATTCTGTCACGTTCAGTTGAGACCCTGAGTCCCAGTTGCAATGCTACACCCTTTCTAAAAAAAAAAGGTATAGAATACGGAATGCAGGATTCATGGGGAATTTAAATCAGAGTGTTTTCTTTAAACAATAAGGAATCAGCGTGTAATTCAAACATTCTGAACAACACATACACTCAAATACTTCCCTTGGGGGGGGTTGAGACAGGGTTTCTCTGTGCAGCTTTGAAGTCTCTCCTGGAACTCACTTTGTAGACCTGGCTGGCCTCAAACCCACAGAAATCCACCTGCTTCTGCCTTCCCAGTACTAGGATTAAAGGTGTATGCCCCCACCACCTGGTTAGACTCAAATACTTTGTGCAGTTATTTTATGAGAATATTTTCACAACCACTAAGCAAACAGAAAAATCAGAAGCAGACAGAATTAACATTATGTAATTTTTCTAAAATTTGACACAACAGTACAGATAATAACAATTTCTTGAATTCTGTAACAATTTCTTGAATTCTACATGGTGTTTCACTACAGATTAGTTACAAATCGTGGAAAATGGCATTTGGCACAATGCCTTCAGATGCAGTAGAAACATTTTCTCTGACTGAACAAATGAGTTGAGTTTTGTGGGAATCACACTAGTTCTTCATTAATTTTGAACATATTATTACTCATGCCACTGGCTCAATTTAAAACTCAAATCTTTTCATTTCAACTCCATTCTTCAGTATCTGTGGTCAGTCATCTAACAGGATTTTAGGCCACATAGGTAAGTGTCATTTATAATTCTCCCTTCATTTCTCAAAATGTAGAGGATGCCAGGTTCTATACTATCTCTCTCTCAAATATAGAACAGGAATGTAAACCTTGGGTTTAGATAAATGGCTCAGAGGTAAAGGCATTTACTGTTCCTGCAGAGAAGTACATTCCATTTTCTCTACACTCATGGCACCTTCACTGCCAAGGCTTTGGTACTGGGCTCAGGAATGCAGGTTCATAATGGATCATGCAGTGTGCATAAAATCATGCAGAAGAACACTCATATCCTTAAATAAAATGTTACGGTAAAAAGAGAAACAGAGGACAACACAGAAGCATTGCCAGAAGAGAAAAACAGCAGATTTTCACACCAGTCACGATTCTTTTGCTCTTTGGTTGTCTATAATTTTTCATGTTTGTGATTATATGATACATATAAAATTATATGGGCTGATTTTTAAAATTGCATCTATTTTGGCAATAAGTGTAATATATACTGATTAGAAAAAAAAAAGGAGAGAAATAGAAATCTTTGTATCTCCACAACTCTTCAGAAGATCTCCCTAAGTAATACGTAGCCTCAGAGAGCAGAAAAACAGGGTGGAAGGAGCCTTATAGCTCCAAAAGAAAACAAGAATAAAGTGACTAAGTGGGCATTTCTTTATGCTTCAAAACTGATGCTTATGCACAGCACCAACTCAATTCTCTCCAGAAAATTATTACTAGTATATTCCACATGATACAATACAAAGATGGAGACACTGGTGCTTATGCCCTTCTGAAAAATAAAAGAAAAATAGAAAATAATCAGCAGTCTATGAACAACTTACAACTGGGCATTAAGAAAGATGTGATCAGCCGGGTGGTGGCAGCACACACCTTTAATCCCAGCACTAGGGAGGCAGAGGCAGGCGGATGTCTGTGAGTTCGAGACCAGTGTGGTCTACAGGAGCTAGTTCCAGGACAGCCTCCAAAGTAAGAGAGAAACCCTGTCTCAAAAAAAAAAAAAAAAAAAGTGATCAAGACTTCTCTGATGAAAAGATTTGATGTGGCAACACACCCAAAATCACTGTGCAATATTAAATGTCAAAGGGAGAAGCATACTGCAATCTGCAAGGGCTCACAGACACATCAATTTTATTGAAAAAGCAAGTGAATTAATTATTCCTTCTATTATCTGTACTCTCTAGGATGCTGTTATATTTATTACTGGGATCCAAGACAGTGAATCTCTTCTACTTTTCCACAAATTGTTCAGTGATATCAATGAAAAAGTTCATGTATTTGCATGTCCACATTCACAGGCCTGGTTGTGAAAACCTTACCATCCCAGGAATGCAATCTACATGATACATGAGAACTTCCTTCTGCAATAATGTAAAAGGACACAAGTTCATCTTATGTGGACTTCAATGTATTTCTTTGAGTACCATTTGCAAGAGAGTCTCTTCAAGAATGGTAGGTCTTAATCTATGAAAATTGATGTCCTGGAAGTAAAACATGGAATGAAAATACAATGGGAAAGGCTGTGCTATTTATGTGAAAGATCTATACTTATTCTTAATTATTAGAGAGGAAAAAGAAGATATATCAAAGACAAACACTTTAGATAACATTACCAGAGGAAGAGAATTAGTCTTGAATGGTTTCAATAATAAAAATAAATTTCAAAGAAATATGAACAGGACACTGACCTGGGAAGCATTTACCAAAGGAGCATTCATTCTTCCTTCTTCTTGTTCTCTGGGTTTCTGTGTCTGGAAGAAAAACTGTAATTCTTGTTGAAATTTCACATCAAGGTGTCAGAAAATACAAAGCTGGGAGTCATACAATTCTGTGATGAACAATGCCAAACCACATAGACAGACCCCAAAACCAATGTAATACCAGAAATCTTGTCAACATTCCTAAAGGCAGGACAGCATGGAAGGATACATTTAGAGTGGAGAAAGAAACCTGATCTTTGTGCCCAGAAACATTGGCTCCTAAAATTCAAGGAGAAGGAAGGGCACACGAAGTTCATGAAATAACAAAGGTCAGTTCCTCAAACAGCCCTGCAGATCATAATTAGAAGCAAAGTATACATAGCAAATAAACCACTTTACATTAAAAAATGGATGAACAGAGAACTAGAGAGTACTAGACTATTTCCAACAAATAAAACCAGAAATCTATCATTGCTAACTAGAAGGAAATAAATTAACAATAGTAATTTTTACCAACAAGAATACTAAAAAAATAAAAAGAAATCCACATAATAATAAAGCGATTTGATGTGAAAGTACCAGTAAAAATTGAAATGCCTAAGACAAACTTCATCAGATTTTGTGATAAACGCCCAACAGAGACAGGGCGGAACGGAACACAGCTGGACTCGGTAAAGGGCAGAGACCAAGAGTAAAGTGTGGGGAAAAGATAAACAGGGAAACTGTAAAGAGAGAAAGATGCATACACTCTCCAGACCTACTGACATAAATGCCAGTAAGAGTGAGCAAGATAAATTTAAGTAACAAAAACAAATTAAGAAGATATATGGAGGAAAGAAAGGCACCATACTCCTTTTTATTGATGATGTGATCATATGCAAAACTCCCTACAGTCACCATGGGGAAATCCTAGAATTTATAAATCCTAAAACACACACACACACACACACACACACACACACACACACACACACCACTACTTTTCATATATACTAATGACAATTTGAAAAGAAATTAAGAATTTTGAGCCATTCAAGTTGTTTTCAAAACATCTAGGAATAACAAGTAATGAAAAATTCACTTATGTGAAGAAAATTTTAAGGCATTCTGAAAAAAAAAATAATAGTTCACAAAGAAACGCACAGTGACTAGTGACGAAACAGTGTATGTGGTTATATTACTAACAGCAATCAGCATAACTGACACAATTCCACATGGCAAATACTGAAATTTCCCTCCAAAGAGGATAAGGAAATGGTCACATGGACACAGCAACATCATAAATATAAAAATTAACCTAAAAAAAAAAAAAAAAACAGAGTACTCTTGGTGGTATCACAGGACATGACCCCATATCATGATACTGAGGCAAAAGAACAATATGGTCATAATAAGTGATGAAACATAGAAAATTGAAAAGCAGAGATCCCACAATGAAACACAACGAAGAAAGGTAATGCAAGCCAAATACATCAAATCAAAACCAGAAATGAGAGAGTCCTTTGAATATTCTGTGCTGGAAAAATTATTATCCATGTGTAGACAACTCATATTAGAAACTTATCTTTCATGCTACAAAAAAAAAAAAAATCAAAACAAACTGTATCAAGGACATTCCTGGATAACTTTAAATGCTAAAACAGATAGGGGAAAACCTGATTAAATACTTAATAATTCAGAAATAAGCGAACCCGATGAGAAAACTAGACAGGAAAATAACAAAGGGATTTCATGGAGTACAAAGCTCCCAGCTCTGAAAAGTACATGAAGAATGAATGGTAGCTAAGAAAGTTAAATAAGTATTTAGGTTTTCTTCACACAAGGAGTTCACATATACTGCTTATGTTAAATATACAAAGATATATAAAATCCAAACTGTCTACATAGAGTACCTTGGGATAGGAACAAGAGCTCAAAATAGAGAAAATAATGGGTATTGGAGGATTGACAGTGCTTGTGTCTCGAAAGGCAAGTGACAATAGTTGCTTCAATGGCACTATGAAGGAAGGTAATAGCAGTAAGTGCCTACATAACCTGGAGAGATCTCATCCTAGAAAGTTAGCAGCACACGTGAAAGATCTAGAACAAAAACAAGTTCACCCAAAAGGAGTAGACCACAGAAAACAAGCTGAAGACTGTGATGAATAAGATGAAACAAATAGAACATTACAAACAATTAATGAAACAAAGAGTTGGTTCTTTAGGAAAATCAAGGTAGACAATCCCCAAAGCACACCAACAGATCAAGAACTACTGTCCAAATAAACAAAATCAGAAATGAAAAGGGGGACATAACAGATAACAAGGAAATCGAACGAATCATTATTTCATACTTTAACAACCTGTAGTCCACAAAATCAGAAACTAAAACAAATGGGTGATTTTTTAATAGGTGCCACTTATTCAAATTAAATCAGGACCTATAAAGCTATAACCGATAAGTAAACAGAAGCAGTCATTAAAAGGCTCCCAACCACCAAGGACCTGGTGGTTTTAGCACGGAATTGTCCCACACTTTCAAATAAGTGCTAAAACAAATACTTCTTAAATTACTCCACAAAATAGCAACAGAAGGAACACTGCCAAATTCATTTTATGAGACTTGTCACCCTGACACAGACATCACACAAAGGTTCAACAAAGAAAGAGAATTACATACTAACTTCCCTCAGGAACATAGATGCAAAATTTCCCAGAAATACAAAATCTAAATACATCAAAAACATCATTCACCATGTTGATCAAATCAGCTTCACGCCAGACATTCAGGGATGAGTCAACATAGGAAACTCTGTTAATATGTTCCAGTATATTTGCTTCTGAATATGAATAGTTATATACACAGTCACCTACAAAAGGATAATAAAGAGATTCTCCTCAGTGAAATTCTCTGCAACCATTTCTAATGAAACAGAATGCAGCAAAACCAATTTCAGGTCCTGTTTCGACTGTCTCTCGAGCCATTCCGAATCCTTTCACCCTTCCTCAGACCCCCTACCATACCTGGACCCTTTGACACTGTCTCCTCTCTTCACCGTACAGGGCTCTTGGTTCTGCTTCCCAGGTTAGCAGGACTGACTGAGCAATGTGACACCTGCACAGGACAAAGAGAGTCTTCAGACGGCACCTAGACCTTTTCATGGGGCAAAAATGAAAGATGCCAACACCTGCTCGGAGGATAAACAGGAAGGAGAAAGGAAATGTCAAGAAAGACGCCTCTTCTGAGGATTTCACTTTACCCTGTGAGGTGTGAGACTCATAACACAGCTCACACCCATGCAGCACAGTGTGTGAGCTGTGTCAGGACCCCTGAGCAGGAGCAAGGAAGACTACAAGAAAAATGTTCACACTCTCAGGATCCAGACTGATGCACTTCAGAGATCTCTGCAAATTGTCTTGTGAGCAGAAGCAAGGCATCGATCGCCCCTCCTCCCTCAAGAAGCCCACAGCACTGAATGTTAACAAATCCTGAAATTAGTAAAAAAAAAAAAAAAGTTTGGCCACGTGTACAATTGGTAGAGAGCTTTTCTTCAACCAAGGAGACACTGTCCTGACACGGGTGTGTGCTCACAACTATTCAAATGGAATCTATGACTGTACAAACTATGAGAAGCCACACCGTGGCCTGATGAACTCTCACAGCACTGACAGACGCGACTCAAGGACACAGTATACGCAGACACGTTTCTGAATGCGGTATTTACATCCCACACTGCACATATTTCAGATGGAAAACTAATGGGGAGCGAAAGGCTTGCTAAATGTTTAAAACCGTATGTGTGGCACTCCACAAAATATAGTCGCTGTTTAATCCTATCTCACAGGGTTCAGAAAGGGGAATTTATTTAATTCCCAGCCCCTGCCACACCACCAAAGGGAACCCAGTTGGCAAACAACTGACGACGCAAATGCTCCTCTTGATACTAGATTATTTTAAGGATTATTTTATGGCAGAATATTCTGCAAAACCTAAGATAAGTGGGAAAAAAAATCACAGCAGGACACACTTGATGGTATCTCGAACCGTCTAGGTCTAGGGGGAGAGGTCCCCGGGGAGGAGGGCGAGCAAAAGAGCAAAGGGCGTCTCGGATGGGGACGGGAGAGACGGAGACCCCAGACAGAGAGCGGTCAGAGAGCAAACCAGGAGCCAGAGAGACCGGGACAGACGGACACTTTTAAGGGGTGCGCCCGGCGCCCGGGGCAGCACCCAGCTCGTGGGGTGGAAACGAGCGCACCTGGCCGCAGGGGACGAGCTGAGCCGCCGCCTCCTCCACCCCACGGGCAGCCGGCGGGAGCTGACGGGGTCCTTGTGAGCAGCTCGGGAGCACAGCCCGCTCCTCCCTCCCTCCCGGGTCCCAGCCCCGCAGCTCCTCTGACCTGGGAGCTTCCAGGGCCGCCGGGCTGCGGTTCCCGCCACTGCGCTGCTGACTGCTGACTTTCCCAGGCCGCCCCGCGAGCGCGGACACCGCGGATCCCGAGGGCTCAGGTCCCCGCGGACCCGCCGCGTCCTCCGCACCCGGGTCTGCAGCGCGCGGCTCCCACCGTGCAGGACCCCGAGCAACGACAGGGAACCGGGCACTCGGCACTGCGGGCTGCGGCTCCTGAGATCACTTCCTGGTCCTCTCTCGTTAGGTTTCCCGGCTTCCGTTTGCGTCAATCTTTAACGCCTCCCACTTCTCCCCCCGCCCCTCCCCTGCATCTCCCGCTGCCTTGCACACAGCTCAGCCATCAGGCCGCCCTGGACCCGCTCTGCACAGGCTCCGCACACGCTTGCTGCAGCCCAGACCAGAGCTGCAGCCAGGAGGACGCTGCACCCCGGTGTCTGACCCCGCAGTGAGCGCTGAGACCCCCAGAGATAAATTCTCCTAACGTCTCATCTTGGGAGACCGGCCTCTTGGGTTAAAAACACACACAGGGAAAGACAAGACACACAGCTCAGAATTCTGGGTTAAAAACACACACAGGGAAAGACAAGACACACAGCTCAGAATTCACGTGTTCAGGTCCAATTCCCAACAGATATTAAAACTAAGTGTAAACAGCAGTTGACTCGTATCACAAAATGAAAGATTCCCGGAGGCTCAGCCCCCAAGGATCTCGGCCCAGGACCTCTGCCACCCCAATCACCATGCGGAGTCGAAAGCTTGATGCAAACTGCACAAGGCTTTATTGCAGTTGTTTAACGAGCTAACCCCATGTTAGCTGGAGCCTTTCATCCATCCCCCATGGCAGATGGCTGGGCAGCCACAGCATAGAGATCTTATAGGGCAGCGTAAGGGGAGTGTCTAGGGGTACGCACAGGCTCAGGATTGGTGTGCCTCCAGACTTGGAGGGCTTGCCCTGTGTTGACTGGTTGTTATGGCCCATAGGCCCTCCCAGGGCAATTGCTATGCTCTTTGCATCATTGCTGTGCGCTTGTCCGTAAAGCTCACCCAGAGCGGTAAAGCATAGCGCCACCAGCTAAGTTCTGGTTGGTTCCTTGCCATGAGGCGGGCATTTGACCTCTTAGTGACCAAGGCAAGGTCAGGCAAGCACGTGCAAGGCTGTTATGGCTGCTGAAATGGGGAACTGGTCCCTTCAAAATCATATATGTAACAGAGAGAGAGAGAGAGAGAGAGAGAGAGAGAGAGAGAGACTTAAATGACACCAGCAAATGCCAGAAGGACATCAAACCAGTGTAGGACATGAACATTAAACTCAATAAGTAGTTAGAAATGCCGAAAAAAAAAGTCCAAAGGAAATAAGAAAGCAAACATGCAATGAGCCTAATCACAATTCAAAAAGAGCCATCAGGTAGGAGACAGAATATCAGGGGTTGAATACTGGGTAAAGGAGGTGTATTGAAGGAAAATGATAAATTGAAATAAAAATGTCCCATGCAAGTTAAAGGTAAAAGTGAACTTCCATCTGTATGTGTCACCCTTAATTAAAATATTCTCAGTTTTTGAGATAATAACACGCACTTGGGAACATTACTGGAAAGCTGGACAATCATTTCCACCACTATGCAAAGGAAGTGACACTAAAAAGCCATCTTTATCCTTCCCTCACAGACACCCCCCACTACACTATTACAAATCTAATATCCAGAATCACACTATTAGCAACGTTGACTTGAGGAGAGACAGTTCAGAAACTCAGGGTTTAGAAAGAAAGCTGGTGGTCAGTCAGTCCACTGACAGCCCAGTGCTGAAGTCACCCTGTGCTATAAGATGGTGATGTTGTGACTTTGCTAACTCAGAAACAAGTTCGTCTTCTGGGAAGATTACTGTAGGTGCTGTACAACAGGCTCCAAAACATATCTCCAAACACAAATGGCCCCAGTTAATCTTGGCAGGCTACAAAACAAAATGAATACAAATGGAAATGAGAAAGGAGTAGAGAATGGGGTCGGGGAGAAGGAAAAACACTGAAGGATGCGTACAGGCCAGGACTCTAGGGGGTAAGGTATCAAAGTGCACTAAGCCAGGTCTGGCATGTGAAATGGTAAAATTTAACAATAAAAGTTAAAATGACTCATTTTCCTCTTTATCTCACTTGATATCAGGTAATTTAAGCTGTGCTGTGATGGTCACGACAGGTAATATGTAGGGGACAGTAAGCCATGCCTGTTAGAGGCTGGCTACATGTGTGCCTGACCACGCCTGTCAAGGCATGGTCAAGGTGAGGTCAGGATGACGCTGCATGGGCTCTTAAGGGGCTGCAGAGCACATGAGAAGCACCTTCTCTCTGGCCTCTGGCTTGGCTGACCTGGCCACTCTCTGGCTTGCGTTTGGCTGGTATTTATCTGAATACAGATATCTTAAACCTACAGGCTCATATTTCAGTAATAGGCATCCCAGCTCTTCAGGAAGGTGAGCACTCAGAAATATAAATGCAGAGCCAGGTGTCTGTCCTCAAAGCAGAGGGTTCTGAGCTCATGGGCACCTTTCAGATGACAGGACTGTTGATTTCCCATTGTGCCGAGTTCTGTTGTTTCTCTCCGTGTGCAACAACAATGATGTAACTAACTAATAGATTCTACATGTGTGCCTGGATTCACATGTTAGTGATTAACTCCATGACACAAATAATCTATCTGAGTCAAGGAAAGAAATGAAAGCATTTTTTCCCTTGAGGTTATTTAGCTAAGACCAAGTCCAGATTTGAATTGTAAACTGGGAGCTCTCTGTCCTTTCCATCCAATGTCTGTTCCATGACATTGAATCTGTGCAGGTGTGTGTGTCTGTCTGCTTACAGAAAAGTATTTTACTATGTCTTTATTCAGTAGCATAGGAGCCACCACTAGAGATAGGAATGAGAAATCTTAAGTATACATTAAACCTCCTGGAACTGGAATTATGGATGTTATGAACCACAACTTGGAGGCAAGAGCATAAAGTATTCCTTGTTGCTGAGTCATCTCTCCAGCCTCCAGGTAACATTTCAAAACTAGAGTTTTAAAAGTTTGCAGAGTCTTAATATATGACATTCCCAGGGGAAAAGAATGAAGAAATGAAACAGATCTTCATTGGATTTAGTGGAGAAGCAGCCATTTCCCCCTGTTGCTCTAGTCTGAGATTGAGTCCCCAAAACAATGACTGGACTTCTTCTTGTAAATTACCTTGATATTAATAAGAAACATTGAAAAAAAAACAAGAGCAAGAACATATACACACCGTGTTAGGAAGAATCCAATGTACTGCATCCACAATGCAGGTCAGCATGGAGCTTCTTGAAAGTAAAACAAGGAAAAGAATAAGTCTGGGTCTGAGGGTGCTTACTTTAATCCCAGCATTTGAGACAGGGCCAGGTGGAGTTCTGTGTGTTGGAAGCCAGCCTAGTGTGTATGAAGCATTGCAGGCCAGCCAGGGCTACAGAATGAAGATGAAAATGGGCTCTTCTGCCGGGCGGTGGTGGCGCACTCCTTTGATTCCAGCACTCAGAAGGCAGAGGCAGGATGATCTCTGTGAGTTCGAGACCAGCCTGGTCTACAAAAGCTAGTTCCAGGACAGGCTCCAAAGCCACAGAGAAACCCTGCCTCAAAAAAGCCAAAAACAAATGGATTAAACTGATATATTAAATTACACCATATTCACTTATGATAAATGGAACATCTGTATAACCACACACATACCCCAAATAATCAAGGATTTATGAGAGCTAGATCAACTTGAGGCTTGCTGAATCCTTGATGTATGTAGGAAAAACAATTCCTACTCCAAAATCAAAAATATCCTTGGCAAAGCCAAGATTGATCTGGACAAGAGACTTGGGGTGTTGTGGCTTCTAGTCACTGGAACATAACTCTTAGCACCATGAGGAGCTGCAGGTATCTGTTCCAAAGTTTCTGTTTGCTTTCCTGTGATGCTAATGAGATATGCTTTGCAGCCCTCACGGAACATTGACTGATTGGATTACAATTTACTTTGTCTCAACACATGACAGAGTTTTCCTGACACTGTCCCATTTTCACTCTCAGGAAAGACTATAAGATGTTGTACTTATTAAGAACCTTGTTTGCATTAGGCATAGTTTGCGTAAGACTTTTAGATCCCAACTTTTCTATCTTCTTTATTCTGATCCTCTGGACCTTCCTTCTCAGGAGCCTGTCACTGAAGAATTACTTCCTGGTCCAGGTCAAAGGAATACGCTGGAAGCAACAGTGGAAAAAATGGAAGAACCAGAGCTGTAGAATGGGTAAGAATGAAAAGAAACCACTTTTAGACCTGACTACACCACTCTGATAGTCTACCGAATCTCTCATGGAATTGAAACCATCAACATTTCCTCCTGGTTGACAGAGAGGGCCCTATTAAGCCCTTCCCTGAATATCTATTGGTAGTTTGTAGTAGACAGGGGAGCAGTGTGACATTATGAGAGGTGGAGCCATTTAAGAGTTACGCAAAACCCAGTAAGTATCCTCCCACCCCAGTAAAGGTAGGTAGCTCTAGTCAAATTCAGTGTCCAACTCAAAGGAGTGTCATGAAAGGATGCTTTCATTTCTGAGCTTCTTTCTGCGTCATCTCTATCGAAACTTTTGAGTCAGGATCATGAACGGCATCACAGGGTCACCCTTCTTTCTCTAACAGCTTCCCTGAAGCTGCTCCATAGTTAACACCCCACTCACTCACCCCTTTTATAACAGATGGCAATTCTTCCCATCTGTTTAATACATATGTTACTACTGTTGATCTGTAAGTACCCTGGCATCATTCTTTTTTTACAAGAAAGAGAATGAAACCAAAGCTGCTGACCCACTATGCCTGCGACTTAGGGCTGCTGTTACCGTGGTCAGTGAGCAGCACTCATCACAGTCGGCATGTATCTTGTGTTTCCCACTGATTCATCCTACAACCAACTCTCCGTTCTGGAAAATCTATGCTACACAACATTACTCAGGAACTAAATTTTCAACAAATGGGCACCAAGAGTCCCTCTATGTCTAGTGACTGTCCACACTAACTGTACTAAAAAATATCAAATCCTACAGATAATGTAACAGAAAGAACTGACATCCAATATTTAGGGGAAATTCAACCAACTGCAGTCACCGTCCAAGTCAGGGTGC